AAATGTAAAATCCTAACACACATAAAATGGATACCAGGGTATCTCATTGCTGCAGTCCAAAGAACATTTATCTGAGGATAGACATCATTAAAGCTAGCCGCACTGAGAAATGTATGCCAAGCTTCCTGAAGCCTTATATATTGAAGAAAAGACCTGAATTTATGATAGAGCCAAGATAATGTAAACAGTAATAGAAATACAGCTATTCCAAATGCTGCTGACTAGTCCCTACATCTATATTGAAGAGCCTGGAAAATGAGTCTGAGATAAAGGACCCCCCTCCCTGGACATTTCCAAATAGTTGGCAGTTGAACCCTACTACAGCTTTGGTAAACAGTTGAGGACCACAGGTTTGTTTAAGAAGTGCAGAGCAAGCACTGTGAGACATACCATTCTGTCCTGCAAATCCTTGCTTGCCGCTCACTAACCTCCCAGCACCTGCCACCTAAGGTAAATCACCACATTCTAACAGTAGGCCAGACTGTATCCTGTGGCCTTATGAATAAAGTGAAACTGCTAAAAGGTGATCACTGACACATTAAAGCAGAAGAATTACATGACAAAAGTATTTATTTACATAAAATCTGAATATATTAAGTTATATGTACATATGCAGATTTAGAAATATTTACTACAGTTGAAATGTAATATCTCACATCATAGTAGAGAACTGGTGACCTAGAATCCCTTTTAGTCTTCTGTCCAGGTGCTAACTGATACAGGCCAATTCAATGCCCAAATTACCCTCCCTTCTTATGGTTGTTTCTCTTTAAAGAAGACTTGAATTGGATAGCTCTGTAAAGTATGGTCACCTGGAGAGCCCCAGAATAATGAGCTTCCCGTAACACACTAAGAGAGCTTCAGATACTGGGTAGTATAGAAATGAAATATGACAAGTGGTTTGTTTGGAATATATTCCATGTATATTGTACATGATCTAAAATCAAATGAAAAGGACAAGTCAATATATTGGAAAAACCCAATATCTGCAATTTAAAAACAGAATGTAATAATTGCTCTAACATGTAAAAAAGGAAATACAATGGTATAGTTTTCTATGTTTTCAATTGTGTCTCAGCTATACTCACAGTCAAGTAGAGAAACTAGTTTCCTAAGGTAAGCTCCTGTGTACATTCAGCTAATATGAGGGAAATGGCACCCTTTAAATTAGAGGATAAGGAGATAGCAACCTGCAGGTCAACTCTGGCTCCCAATATATCCCTTCATCAAAAGGATACTTCACATATTGTTATGCAGCATAACCATCTTTTAAAATGAGACTCAAACAACTTCTCTTATCTGTTATACATTAGGGTAAGTGAAGTGTGTTAAGAAACTTCACATGGTCCAAAATACAGTGGTTAGATCACCTTGCATATAGGATTTATTTTACAAATCCTAAAATTGTTGTGTTGGTTTTCTGAGCACAATTGAAAGGCAGAGTTTAATTGAGAACACTTTTAATGGCTCAGGACTTGAGTATTCAAAGGATCCCATTCTCCCGCACAAACTCAATGAAGTAAGGTCTCTAACCTCAAAATAAAGCCTTTTATTTTACATTATCCAACTCTGGCCTGCTCTTCTAAGGAAGATTTGCCCAATCACAGTTTGAGGTCTTTTTTGAACAACAGTGAAGACCTTTTTATTTGGCAAGACTTTAGATCCATGACCTGTTATTGTTATTTATTTATTTATTTATTTATTTAAAGTATTTATATGCTGTCCTGTCGCAAAAGCCTCAGGACGGCTCACATAGATAAAATACAATAAAATATAACATAAATAAAATTATTGACCCACACTGGCTGCAATAAAAATATACATGATATTAAAGGTCATGATATTAAAACTTATTAAAATATTGCTGAAATAAAAAGGTCTTAACCTGGCGCCGAAAACATATCATGACAGTGCCAGGTGGACCTCTCTGGGGAGCGCATTCCATAGGCGTTATCCCCAGCATTATTTTAGAAATGCTTCTATTTTATCTTTAAAGTTTATTTTTACTTTTATCCTGCATTATGTTTTACTACCTTTTTGCACACTGCTCTGAAAGTACTTTTTGAGACTCAATAATATTAGACTAAATTTTGTAAACAAGCAAATAAACAAGCACCCAAGAAAAGGCTCTGCTAAAACCCATTGCATTTAATAATTTTTCCCATGCAAAGGAGTCCAATAGGTAGGATCATTTTTGCTGCCTCGTCAACTCTCTCCCCATGAAAATAATATATTAGTTGCCAAGAACAGCTGCAATTGCTATATCAAAGTGAGACTGCTTAACTGTGTAAGTTAATGGACTGTAATGACTATTCATATGAAGGCATTCAGTTTGTCTTTCTTTACAGGAAGGTTCTAAGACAAAGTTGGTTTCCAATATTACTCCTTTTCTATACAGAATTAAACTTTACATGGGAAAAAGAACATTTTCTACAACGTGTAAAGGACAGCAAGGGTATGTAAGACTGCTTGATTGCTGCACTTATAACTTGAAGGATATTCACCTACACATTTAGCTATATACTGAAATTACTGCAGTGTTGCAGAATGTGCCCTCAGCAAAGATACAACAGATGTCACTTATGAGTGAACTACAAACTATTTAATCTTAGTTCCACTGATAAATAGGACGACGCCATCAAATAATGAATAAGAAAAATCTTCCTAAAACCCAAGTGGAATGCACTGGCACAAAGCCTTACTGTTACTCAGTCCACATAACTGGAGGGCAGTTAATAAGCCATGGTGGCTTATTAACAATCTTGCATGTACCTGGCAGATTTACATAGTTACCCTCACTGGTGCAGCTTGCTGTGATGTCCAAACCCAGCAAGGGCAGTGGCTAGGTTAGTTAACAAACCACAGGGCAACCCTAAAACAGGCCATGGGTTCTGGGTGGTTTGTATGAATCAGGCCAATATGTATTCAGAAAGAGTACAGAATCACCATTAGACTAAGAAGACAAGACTGAGGGTTGGATTGCAAATGTTGCTTACCTAATATCTTCAAATTACACAGCATGCACCTGTATATTGGTGTACAGACTTGTTTACCCTTTCTAGTGTTTTGATTACAGCAGAATACAGAATATTAAGACAATTAGACAGCTCTTTTGGTCAATGAAGTAAAGAAGCATGCGTCCAACAGCTTTTGCAAACTGTGAAGCATCCAGGCTCTTACATTTTTGCTCCCTAGGGTCACTTGTTCAAGCACATTAAACATACTAGGGGTAAATGCAGTGCTGGTGCTCTACTGTTTATTTTGTCTTATGTGTTAGCTGGTTGCTAATCCATTCTATTTTTGAATTTTATGGTTCTGTTACTAAGTCAGACCTATAATACCAATTCATATATCACATTCACCGGCATACAGGATTGAAAGAAGAACACTTCTTTAAAGTGTGCCTTCTCTTCCCACTTCTGTAATAAAAACTTAAAAGTTGCAAAGGGCTGGTTCCATTCTAGGCATTCATATACTTGACTGAAAGTAAAATTTGTCATTTTTAAAGCTGTAACATATTTTACTGCTGGGAAAAGATTTTGATGTTTTTAACTTGCTTCTATTGAAGTGTACTTTTCAAACAACAACAAAAAATATTGCCACATCTGAGAAACAGACCAACAGGAAGAAAAAGACACTTGTTCATCTGTATTTCTGTGACTTTTCTCACTTGGTATTATTTGCAACTATACTTTCATGTTTCACAGCAGTGCCAACTCTACTAACGATCATATATTATTTTTATCATGTTGATTACATTATGTTTCCCAGTTTTGCTGCCTACACATGATTAGTGTGGTTTGCACAAAGTCAGTGACACAATCCAGAGCACGACATTCACACAAAAAATGTGTTTACTGTGAAACTTTGCCTTAGAAGTTTGCTTTCTTTCACAGCTTTGATCCACATGACATCAACAGTCCAGCATTTTGAATGTCTGCTAACCATTTAACATTATGAAAATCACTTTCACACTATGCAGCTACTGAGACAGTATTTGTGAAAGGGATCCCATTTCCTAACTGTTTTTTTCCACGGTATGTTTTTTTTTTTTCCAGATCATGTTCTTACTGATGCAATAGCTTGATTGATATTCAATTTGCTGCTTGCCAATGCTTTGCAAATTTTTCAAGTATTAGACTGAATATTAAGGCATGGACAAGAAGTCAGTAGCCAATATTTATCAAAAAGAAAAATTCTAAATAGTTTCACCAGATACCAAGTTTTACTGATCAGTTTTAGATTAGGTTTAAACTGTGTAGTGCTAAAGGGATCAGGATCATGTCACTCTACCCAGCTACTGATAATGGCAGACTAGTCCTTCACATTTTCAACTTAGCATTTGCCATTGGACCTCTAAATGTATATCCCAGTATGTATGGTTTAAACTACATGATTTGTATGACTTGGTTTGGCGGTGTAACATTTGCATAACCCGGTTTTGTGGTGTATCTTCTTGAATGTGCCAACTCGGGATGAATGAATCAGTCTATTTCTAGTACATGATACTTTCATGGGGTATTCAATCATCCACCCCACCATCCAATTTCTGCAACATTCTATAATTCTTAAACACACATACATTAATATTTTACATATGAAACCTTATCTAACATACACATTTTGCATGCATCTTTCCCTAATATGCACATTTGGGTAAGTAGTTTATTTATGCATTTAAGGCATTTTTACTATCCTTTACCCTAATAGAGCTCTTTTTGTATGCCATATCTAAGCCAAGAAGTGCTTTGCAAAATTTGGAGTAGCACAGAACCTAAGGATAACTGCATTTCAATCCTTATATTAGTCCAGACAGTGTGAATTTAGTAATTTCACTCAATAATGGCAGATCATATATTATTCTCCAGCAGCCCTAGTGTTAAATGAAGGCAGGGACAAACCAACACAAATCTAGTCTATCTACCATGTATACTATCACATACTTTGTAGAATTTTCTTTTCTAGCATAAGGATTTCTTATTTTAAAGAAAGATACTTACTGATAAATGTCTTTCCTCAGTACAACTCTACTAAGAGGATTGTCAGCTTGAGGAGCCATCAGTACAGAACCAATTTTGAGTACCAAAGTATCTTCCTTATTTGTCTTATTATCTGCAGTTAAAATGGGAAACCATATCAGGGTTAGATTTTTGTACATGTAGAGAAGCAGACATGTAAATTAAGGTACTTCCAATACACAAGTATCAGTGAGGTAACTTTTGAATGAAGCAATGTTATTTGTGCAATTAATTGTAGTAAAATAAGGACTATGCAAAACAAGGAGATATTAGCTTCGATCCACACTGGAAACAGCTTTGCACACACATACACATTTCTCCTAAACAGGTTACCAGGCAATATATATGACCATACCAGTGAGCATGGTCAAGGAGTTTATTAGAGTGATGGGGGGCTCCTTGGTTGCTCCTTCTATTGTTGGGACTAAGCATTCTCTAAATTTCTTAAATAGATTTTGTTGAGCAGATCATTCTAATATAGCGAAGGTATATAAATATTTTAAAAGATTGTTTGGCCCTTAGGCCTGTTACTCTGGTAATGTGAGAGCTCACACAATATCTTTTAATGCCACCAGGCTGGTATGACAATAACCAGGTTTGTATGAAGAAATAAGCCATGGTGGATTATATCCCCAACCATGCATGGTGGTATGCTGGGAGGATCTGCATAATTACTCTCCCTAATTATACAAGGTGGGTTTTAGCTGTGGTTGACAAGCCATCCAGATCCTATGGGCAGTTTTAGGGTTCTGGGGTGGCTTCTTAACCATGGCAACAAGTCATAAGTTCACTGAGTTCACATGTCACAGCAGGCTATGCCTGAGAGAATAATCATACAAATCCTTCTGGCACATGTGGTGGGGGAAATAAACACCGCAACTTATTTTCCCCTTGGTGATCATGTGAACAGGCCCATCCCAATGCTGTATTGGTACAGGCATTTTCTCAGGAGAATTCTGCTCATGGAATTGTCCCACCAGAAGCGTGGTGGGAGGAAAGAGAATTTTCAGATTCTTTCTCCTCCCTGCAACGACTTATACTCCTGAAAACCTTGCTCCAAATGATTCAGGGACTCTTTTTAACAATGTGTAGGGTAGTGCAGGGGGTTACAGAAGGAAGGCTCTTTTATAGGCAGCCTATAATGTATTGAAATCCCTTCCACAGATAGAAGACACCCATGATTTAACTCAGTCAGTTTAGCTGAAGAACAAATACCCATAGCTAATATGACTAGAGCAATGCCTGCAATGATGATCACTGCAGTGTTTGTAAGACCTGTATTCATATGCAGGTGTGTGTGTGTGGGTGGAAGGAGGTAAATAAATCTCTGTTCCTCCCTGGGTGGGCTACTTATGTATATAAAAGTAAAAGGATGCACTTATAGTCAAACTGAAGTGGTGACTAGTCACGAGTAATGTAGGTCTCAATGATTTCAAAAGGTCTTCTCTAAGCATGCGTCATTCTGGATCCAGCCCAAGGTCTGAAGTAATAAACAAGCTTTTTCGTCATTTCAAGTGTACCCCAGCATCGGGCCTATTTACTGTGCCCTAGTCTAGAGCCTATTTACATTAAAATGGTGATACTAAAAATATAATTATGTTATAATGGGAACAAATAAAGAACTGAATATGCACTTCAGTGCAGAGATCTGCATTTTATATTCTGTAACATTTCTTTCTGCTTGTGAAGGATTTTGATATTTTAGAAGCTAACAGTGACATTTGATATATACATACAGGCATGCCTAGTGTTCTCCACGAGCCTATGCTTTGAGGATGTACGTAAGCTTTCAATCCCCTTTCTCCATCTGTGGCCACCCAGTGAGATATCCTAGACAACTTGTTTTGAAAGCTAAGCTTTCAGCTACAGATGTAAAGAGTGTGGTGAGTGCTAAGTACTTTACTAAATAACACATTGCTTGATGTGGAAAGAACAAGCAAACTCCACATGCAGCTCCAAAGAATCATGCAAATAAATAAATATATTTCTAAACTAGCTTCTGCACACCATAGAGATGCAACAAGAATGACTCAAACCACCAAAAGGAAACCTTGAGCAACAAGTTGGACATACAGCTTTAATGCTGCACGCATAAATCAGAGTGGGGGTCAGAAAGTTCTATCTAATACAGTGAAAATTATTAGATTTTAAAAACTGCATGTAAGATATTGAACATTACACTACAAATACTGCAATAAATATTTATCAACCTCAAAAACATTCTTTTTAAAAAAGAAAAATCTACAAGCCATTTACATTATCAATTTCAAATTCCTAAATTATCTCAACTATTTCGTAGTTTTTTGCTAGTGCTTATTTAACTCCTTTAGCTTTTGTGGGTGTTCATATGTAGTATAGTGAAAATATATTAAATTTGGGTTTTAAAAATTTCAATGGAGTTTTGATAGCAAATCCAGCATGCTGGAAACTTGCTGCGTTCTCTAATACATATTTGTAGAGGGGAGTAGTCCCATTCTTCCTGAAACAGGTGGGACCATTCTTGAAGAAACTCTCTTTAGACCTAAAGCAACTTTAATAATTTTAGGCTTGTGGCTAATATCCCTTTTCTGGCCAAGGTTCTTGAGTTCCTGGAAGGTTTGCATGAGACTGATTATCTGGATCCATTTCAGTCAGTGTTCAAGGAAGGTTTTGGTAAAGAAACAACTTTCGTTGCTCTGTGTATTGACCTATGTCAGAAGAGACACAGGGTGTGTGACCCTGTTGGTATTCCTGGTTCTTTCAGCAACTTTTGATACCATTGACCATAGTATCCTTCTAGGATGGCTGGCTGAGCTTGGGAGTAGAGGCCACTGCATTGGTTCCACTCCTACTTGGACAGTTGGCTCCAGAAGGTAATGCTTGGGGGTATTGCTTGACTCCTTGAACTCTTCACTATGAGATTCCTCAGTGGTCTCCCTTGTCTCGCAATCTATTAAGCCTTTACATGAATTCACTGACTAAAGCCATCTAGCATTTCAGATTGTTTCGTCTTCAGTATACTGATAACATGAAGCTCTATTGTTCCTTTTCATCTTCAGCAGGTGAGGCTATGGATGTGGTAAACTGGTGCTTGCTGTAAGAATGGACTGGAAGAAAGCAAACAAACTGAAGCTCAGTCCAGGCAAGACTGAGATGCTGTTAGTGGACAGTTCTTCTTACTGGATAGAGGGAATTCAACCTGCTCTAGATGGGAGTCACACTCCCCTTGAAGGAACAGGTTTGTAGCTTCAGGATGCTCCTTGATAGGTCTTTGTCATGAGGTGCCACAGAGTGCCTTCTACCTGCTTTGGCTGGTAGCCTAGCTATATCTGGAAAGGAATAACCTGGTTTCAGTAATTTATGCTCTGGTCATCTCTAAACTAGACTACTGTAATGTACTCTATGTGGGGCTGTCCTTGTGCAAAATGCTGTGGTCAGATTAATAAATCTATGATTCTAATAAAAGAGACCGGGCAGTCTGAACATGTTGCAAGAATTCTGGCCCACTTTCACTGGCTGTGCATATGCTTCTAAGCCTAATTCAAGGCATTTGTTTTAACCGATAAAGCCCTACATGGCTTGAGACTACAATACCTGAAAGAATGCCTCTTCAAACCTTGATCTATCCAGATACTATGATCAAGTTTTGGTCCTGCCTCTTACTGCCACCTCCAAGGCAGTCTTGGTTGCTGGTTAACAAAGAAAAGGGCCTTTTCAGTGGTCCTCCCCCCCCCCCCGTTATGGAACAAGCTCTCACTGAGCCCTGCCTAGCACCAGCTTTAATATATTTTCTGCACCAGTTAACCCTGCCCTTTATGACAAGGAATTTAATTAACTTAAAATTATATTGGGACTTATGTCAGCTGCTTAAAGAGGTCTTATGGTTTAGTTTGTATACGCTACTATAGCTTTTAAAAATGTTTCAAACATGGCTCTTAAAATTTGTATTTTATATGGCATTTTATATTGTAGCTGATGTATTGTTGTAAACCACCCAAGAGCTTCTGCTTCTGGGTGGAAAGGGGATAAAATTAATAATGATAATAACAATAACAAATAGGCTTTTGAAGTTTATTTTAAAATGTACTTCTAAGCATCTTATTATGAGCATGTTTTCACTTATGTCCAAAGAGAATGTCATTCAGCATGACCAAAAATGTAGTGACATTATGCAATACACCACAGCATTTGTGAAGAACTTGCAAAATTATATTCCTATTAAAAGGCATACAGTGTAATTCAATGTGGTTGTCCACAGCCCTCTGAACTTGTAGGACAATAAGCATCCTATCAAAGGTGGGAATAGTGTAGAGGTGAAGATCACTTCCATGATTCTCCTGAACTGCAAAACACTTAGATGGCTGATTTTAGTCTTTCATCCTGGAGGAGAGGAGGCTGAGGAGATTGCTAGGATACTATTTATGTTGACAGACCCTGTCTCCTCCCCAACCCTTTAATTAATAATTAATACTTATACACTACATAGTAAAATAAAAATATTTTCACATTTAGGCATGCATGAAACTTGTAGCTTCACATTATTTAAAACGTGAAGGTCAATATTTATGTTTGTTCTTATGTCAAAACTGTATATCTAATGAAGCATACCACTATAGATACTGCATGAACATGTTTTAAAATCCTCTTTGATGGCATGGTTAAGCACTGAATGAAATATCAATCAAATATGCATGTAACTATTGCTCAGTGGTCCTTCAAATATGAAGGCAGAATCTGAAGTAGAAAACTAGAGGAGAGAGATAGGGGATGCTTAACCCTTTCCCTACGTCTCTTCTTTACAAAATGTTCCTCTGGGCTTCTCCCATTCCCCCCATAATTCAAAACATGTCTTTGCCTCTTCAAACATGCATTTAGAATTCTATTATGGGGAGGGAAGGAAATGGTTTGGGGTGACCTGCACAATGGGAAGCACAGCAGTTCCTAAGAGAAAGTTACCAGGGCAAAGCACCAAGAAACCTGGAGACATTTGTGCAGCTACATGTTATTTCATGAGTGGAAAGGCATAAAAATATTTCTCATCTGCTAAAAGGATTATTTACCTTAAAATTCAGAAATTCTTAATTTAACTGATTCTGTCAATAATGTTCCTTCTGATATTTAGTCTTGAAAGTTCATGATTAATTGTAAAGATTATCCAAGGAAAATGCATTGAATGTATGGATATTGTTTATAAAAGAAAATTACCTAATATCTTTTGCTGCATATCCTCCATTTTTGGAAAGAAGATTCTGATTACCCCTGTATTGATATAAATCAGTGGCAAATTGCGAGATGTGAGGCGATGTGTCCTCATAGGCTGGCCTGGTGATTTTCTTTTATCTTTTTGGCTCCTTGGGAGTTTTGCTTGAAAAATATTTGCAATTGCATTGAGAAAAGGGAGGCAGACAACAACATCAAATGCCTGAGCCGAAAGAAGGATCTCATGAAGGAAATGAGGAGAACCATCAGAAAAACTTTCAGATAGTTTATGGACAGTTCTTCGTTCATTCCTTGATATTAATTTGTGACGGACATTTTTTGTGACTGCCTTTGTGTAAGTCAGTGAGAGGAACCCATGCTGTTGATGGGAACCATCCAAAAGCTTTGCAGTTGCCTGTGCGAAGAAATAGAAATAGTCAGAAATAAGCAATCTGCATGTGCTGTATAACAAATATGAGCACTTATGTCAAATAACCATTTCATTTGTATTCTTTCCTATTATTATTCTTGCTGAACTGAACCCCTGGCTCAGTCTGAAATTCTGCAGAAACTCTGATTTACACATAGGGTCGGTTTGCACATCACTACAATCATGGATTGTTTGAGAGTTGGATGCCCCCTGCTGCTTGGGTTCACGTAGCAGGACAAGATACAGCAAACTGGGTACCCATAAATAACATGCAAAAATGGCCTCGCATACTGTATGTAATGTATCATAGGCTGCTGTGCTATGCAAACCAGATCTCAGGGTTTATAGTTCTGTGAATATTTTTGTTACAGTTAGAAGAGCTCCTGTACTCATGCAATGTAGATGAGACTGCAGAACTTCCATGCCTACACATTCCTTATTTAGTTATATTTGAAATCTGTATCTTACATAAATGGAACAAGTATTTTAAACTGCTGAAAACTGAAGATGATAACACTCAGGCAAATTGTGATGCATTAGTAAATTAGCTTAATTTGTGTTAGAATGAAATAACTAGGATAAGTAGTGGCATATATATATATATATATTCCAGATAGAAAAAATAAATCAAGTAGGACAGAACTTCCAATAACTTAAAAAACAAAAACAAAGAGATATAGCCAGATACTCTTGCCACTTTCTGTGTACCAAAAAATGCATTCATATCTAACAAACACAAAACTGAGATTTCTGTATGGAAAGTAACAGCTGATTTAAAACAGCAGTAAATGCAACAATTATACAATGTTCACCATAAACCACCAAATATGAAGAGATTATATGTTCATATATGATATCTGGACCCTTTTAAATACAAAGGTCATAGACAGTGACATTTGTCCATTTGAAAATATTGCAGTGTCAAAACAGGATAAAATCCTTATTAAAACCAGCTAATACGTCACAAAATAGTGAGCAAACTTTTGACTACTCCAGAATTCTTATTCAGGCTGGATGTCATGCAAAATAGGGAAGAAAAAAATCCATGTAATTTCACTTGTGGCCAAATGTTTGCAGTTTGTAACTGTCTTAATATGGAATGCAAGTGATCTTATAAAAAATTAGAGCGCAAACCTATGCAGTTGATAGAGAGTTCAGAATGCTCTGTTCCTTTCTCCTCCATGTCAGCTCTTACTGACAAGAAAGATATGAAGAGGGATCCAGAGCTCCAGGAGAAAAACAAAAAAACCAACTCATTTTGTTCCATTACTGATAATGGGAGGAAAAAATTCAAGGTACTCTTAACTGTGTTTAAACATTTCATATAAACAAGAATATGGTTGAGAATTTAGAAAGCTCAGGATCCTCAAGTACTTCCTACCCACTGTCATGCCCGAGAACACACAATCTTTGAATACTTGGAGACCTTCACAGTACCTGAAAAAAGCCAAACTGAGGGGTCTAGCACTGAGAAAACCCATCTGAAACTGGAGAGGGCTTCCCACTTATCTCTCAGAGTGATTTTCTAGCACAATCTTGTAATCCCTAGGATTTTATATTTGAGTATTTGGTATTTAAGGACCATAGGATTGCTCTCCAAATTACATTACTCTTTGCTAGATATAAAACAGGTTCCAGGATGCAATGAAGGTTGTGATGAAGATGCAATGGTTTCCCATCAAAAAGTACAGACTAGATAACACTTAGATCTGTTTCCAGCACTGATCAGAACATCCAGGCCCCTTGTGAGCCAGATAACAGAAATAAAGAGAAACTAAGTAGTCTTTATAGTGGTGAAGCTAGATATTAATTTAAAGTGCCCTCCCCCCACCATTTCACTTATCCAATCAAACCTGAAAAGATATTCTGGAGAATTTAAAAACTTACTAGTTTACAATATCTTAGCTGTTCCTAATAAGGGTTGCCAAAATCTACTGCATTTTCCAGATTCCAGTAATATGCTTGCTACAGTAGTTACAATACTTAGCTCAGATATTTTACCAGGTATCCTGTAGTTATGTCAACAACTGTGAAGCAGTCAGACAACTAAAAGTATACCTGCAAATGTTAGCTTGCACAGTCCTAATTTTCTACATATTATGAGGTTTAAACATGCAAGTGCTCCCTTTAGTTGAAGAGCTATATTCTTAAAACACACAGAAGCTCAAGATTCTTGGGACATCTTCAAAACTAACCAGTTTATTCTGGCATTAATACTCTAACCAATTGTCCATGAAAGTTTATGCCATAAATATATTTGTGAAGATGCCAAGAAGGTCTTTGTTGCAATAGACTAAAATTGCTAACTCTCTCGAAATTGTTAAAGCACTCAAATGACTATTCTTTTTTTCCCCCTCTAACCAACGTGCATATTTATTGCTGGAATTCCATTGGAAAACATAGCACATATTTTAAAACAGATGCACATATATTTTGGATAAGCAGCTCTCTACCATTGCCACTACTGCACTTAAATATTGTTGGTTAATTGGAAGTTCTGTAATATACATATTTCATTGATTTCTTACAGAGGGAAAGAAGCCAGAGAAGTTACTGAAAGGATCCTGCTTGCTGACGGGTCGAACCAACAATGTACGTCTGTTCAGCTTGTCAGTACAGGAAAGGAAGACACCTCCACACTTCCCCAGAGACCAAGAATCTTCCCCAAAGCTTGAGGTGATACGGGCAAAAATGGGGAAACAAAGGGGAAAAAAGCAAAGAAACAAATACAAAGCCATAAGGAAAAAAATCACATGTTTTTAAAATTAAGTTGAATTCTGCCTAGATTAATTGCACCATGTAATACAGTTATTGTGAGCCCATCATCTCAAATATCACAATTCAAATTAATCATAAAGGGAAATCATGAACTTGGAAAGATTTGCCACCATTTAAATATTTGGAAGCAGTGATGCACAAGAGGAAAAAAATGATTAGGACTTGAAGAAAAACAGAGTTTTTCATAGGTAACAACTCATCGGAACTTGATTCACTTTTAATTATGAACAAGAATAGGAGCTTTATTAAAATGGAAGGAGGTGGACTGCAAGAATGAAAGAACTTTAAAAGAACAGCACTGACATGTTTTCCCCTCCTCCTCCACAACAGAAATTGATTGAGAAAACTATTTCATGGTAGTTTTTCCTGCAATTCTTGCAAACCTTCTCCTTCCTACATGAGAACAAATAGCAATGTTTAGATTTTTAGGATAGTTATTTGGTTAAATGCCTTATACCACTACAGAAATCTCACCACAAGCTTTTCTTTGCATTGTAGAAATATGCCTTCAAAAAGTCCAGAATGCCACCCTTCTCCTGGTCTGGAAAACACAACATTCACCTTATCTGTTCTCTTAAGTTAGTCAGAATCCATACACTTCAACTACATGAAACTATTCAAACACACTGGCATTAAACCCATTTACTTTGCAAAATTAGTCTCAAAAAGGAAAAGAGTTAATTGAGAATCCATTCAAGTGAAATAAGACACCACTGAATGTATGCATGTAATTGGTAGACAAAAGGAATATGTTAGCATTTTGAATCCTGCATGCATTTCGCTATGTAGTAACATAAAATAAATAAATTTGCATGTCTTGACACCATGGGTGGGAATAGTTTTTCTATACATGAAACAGAATGCAGGAAAAGTGCATGTATTCAAAAATAATCACATAAAATTTCAAAAAAGAAAAAAGAGAAGGGGTACATTCTAACTTAGAGCTAATCAATGGCTTTCAAACCTGATCCAAATGCTTCTAGGAATTCTGATATTATGCCTTACAGGCTTTTGTACCTTATTTTCAACAATATCTAAAGTCTTCTGGGAGACTGAGAAACAAAAAAAGGAAGAAATGCACACATGCAAATTTAAGTGAGTAGAATCAGTGTCAGAAAGAAAGTTGGGAAATACCACAGACACCTATCTTTAAGAACAGGATGTTACTAAGTGGTCCTATAGTAATACTACACACTTCTAACAACAGAAATTACTCACATTTTAAGTAACTGGGCAGGGAAAACATATAATTCAATTTTAAATGTTTTGACCAACATAATGTATACAGAGCTGGCTGGTAGATAGACTTACTGAGGAAACCAGGAGAACAAAGCTCAGAGGTGAGAGAAAAGAAAGGTGAGAAGAAAATGATAGAATGCATGGATTTGAAATGGAGAAATGGACAATTAGGACTTTCTGTCTTCAAAGTTACATGAATATAGGCAGTGAGAATACAAAACCTAAGCACAATTACATTGGTTTCCAAGCATTTCCTTTCCCTCCGTAGCAGGTAGCTGAGCGATTATGAAAACACAGCAGCCTAAACATTAGAGCAGGCAAAGCTTTGACTTAAAGTAGACATCATTTCATACAAAGTTCATGAACAAAGAAGCTGAGACAGGACAGTGAGCAGAATCAGCAGAAGGGGCAGGAGTGTGGCACACATCTGTGTTTTGCATGTTTCTGTTACGCTACACAAACAAAACCTGCTCAACAAATTGCAGACAGGGGAGCTTTCAAAACAGGAGTTTGCTGCTCACTACTGTGAACCAACATACAGTGGACCCTTGAAAAAGAGCATGGCTAACTATGGAAAAAAAAATTTTTTAACTAACTCTCCTTTTCGTATTTAGTATCCCAACAATATTTATATCATGCAAACACATCTTTAGAAGTTTCTTGCTAGGTCATTGAATAGTTCCACACAGTTTTCTAGATCACTGAAAGGTACCACACAATAATAACAGAAAACATGTTGGTATGTCAGGATGTTTCATTTTATTAGGACAATACACATTCCACTTCAATACATCTACCATACCAAGCCTGACAGAGGATTGGGGTCATTGTGGGAACTTCCCTCTCCTCCATTCCTCCAGGTGGTATTACAGGGGACGGGGGAACAAGTCTCCTGTCACTAGCAGCAGAGATAGTGAGTCCATTTCAGTTTGCAATGGCAGTCTGTTTATTAATTTATCCTGAAATGGTGAAAGCTGGCTACTGAGATTTTTCTTCTTTTTCTGGTTTGTTTGCATAGAACAATCAGCGCTCATTCAATACAGTGCAATGGGGAGCTGTTCAAGTCTTAGGTGGGAGAATATGGAGAGTAGTATCTATTGCAAGGGTTGCAGCAGAGCCGCCCTGCGCATTTTCCCAGGTGAGGTTGGAAATCCCTTCCCAGCAAATTGCTTTCAACAGCCAGCCCACAGAAAGCAAGGCAGCCCTTGAAAACAAACATGCAAGGGATCTTTTGCTGACAAGAGACTGTTTTTCACAAACACCACTTCCTTCCTGACAAGATATTTCTTTTTCTGCCTTCTCCCCTTTTGTTCTCCTGGGGGAGCAACTTTTCCCTTTTGTTCTGACTCTATAAGAGGCTTGTAGTAGGCACAAACTGTCCCCTGCCTTTTTAAAGGGAAATGGAGTTTAAAGGAAAATGAAGTTTTAGCTCTTACTGAAGAGGAAATCCTGTTCAGATGCCATGACAAGGCACCACAACCCTGAACCATCCTATGAGCTTAGCGAAGAGGTCGCTGTTCAGGAAACATGACAACTTCCCTATGAGAACAAATTATGGTGGAATCTTGTGTCATCAGAACCAGGCCAATTCCATGGAAATCTGTCACCCATAGATTCTATAAGCAACCAAAATACTAGAATGTGGAAGTCTAGAATAATTCATATGAAATACAGACTATTGTCTGCTAGTTCTTTTGCTGTTGTTACATGCCGTCAAGTCATCTCCAGTTCATGGCAACCCTACAAATGGGCCATCAATCTCATGTTTGTTCTACTTTCTTAGCTATCTGTAAAAAAAGAATGGCAATGCCACCTCTAATGGCTGTTGATATTATTAGCTAGGCTGGGGGTGCTCTCTTCCCTTGCAGAGGCCATCACTTTTAACTATCAGGTGGAGTGATCAAAATTCAGCAGATGATGAGAAACTAGCATCCTCATTTGCTCCTGTTTCACTGGGGGGGGGGCAACTCCCCCCCCCCAAAAAAGGCTGTCAGAATGAGCGTGTCCTGTGAGGAAGAGCCAGAAGACCATCTGAACCTGGTGATATCTTCTGTTCCCCTGAACTTTACCTGAAGTGCAGGAGTGAAATAATCTGCCAGTTATCAATCAGGCCATAAAAGGCCAAGGCCCCAGCCTGTAGGAACAAGTTGCAGCTGTACAACACCCATTTCAAGGAAAAGTGGATTTCCAGAAAATTTCTTGGAGGTCTGCAGAGGCATGATTTAATTTGGACTGCTTGTTTCTACCAAAGCTTGTTTTATAGGAATCATGTGACATTAAGTATTGGTACCTGGGTTCTTGTGCTTTCCTTTCCCCTTGCCATCCAATTTTCCTTTTGTGTCATGTATTTTTAGATTGGAATTCTGAAGGCAGGAGCTGTCTTGTTTTTATAGATCTACAAGCTGTCCTTGAAGGCTTTCCAGGTGCAATGTGGAGTATACATTATAAGGAGGGAAGGAGGAAGGGCAGGGAAATTGTGTCTATATGCTGGTGTGGTGGGAGAGAGAGATTCAGCTTATTACCATAAGCTAGTGACCTTGAGTAAGGATATGACAAAAGTTAAACAATGGGAAGCAGTTATATTATGGAAGACCATATATTGAACTTCAGAGATTATGAAGGCAAATAAGTCATTCAGATTAGTGAGAAGCCATAGCCTTTGTCACATTTTATATGTACCTCCTGGTACAACTAACATAAGTTATATTCTTGAGCAAACTATGCCACAGGAACATCATTTAAAATCTGTACATTCACTATTCAAATCAAATATTATTCTTATTTAAAAGAAACAAGAGAATGTTTTATATAAACACTAATAAATAATGCACTTAATATTTGACTGTTACCTGTTTCTGTAGTGGTCAATGTTGAAGCTTTCTATTTTACACTTGACTTTAGTATAGACATCTTGTACATCTACTGAAGCACTTAGGTCTTCCAACTCACCAACAACACAAATCTCTGCAATATCCAATGAAGATTAGCTTTGAATTTCAACTCACGAGGTATTCTTTCATCAATAAAACAGACATTTCGAGTATTTATATTTATTTTATTTATTTATACATGTATTTCTAAGCCACCTATAACAGTTGAGACTTCCTAGGTGGCTTACAACACATTAAAGCATAATAAAACACATCAAAATAATCTATTAAAACCCTAACAAATTAAAAACAACAGTATACAAAGAGCCACAAAAGTCAGGGGCTAAGTGTTTTTTTTTTCTAAAAAGCTATGTCTTCTCCTGGTGCCCAAAGAAAAATAAAGCACCAGGTGAATTTCCCTAGGGAGGGAGTTCCAAATTTGGGGAACAGCAGTGGAAAGTCCCTTTGTCTAGTTGCCACCCCTCTCATCTCCCCGAGGGGCGGCTCTTTTAAAAGGGCCTCCTGAGCTGATCTGAGGGGGCAGGTAGGTATATATGGGTATAGGCAGTCCTTCAAATAGCTGGATAGCCAGAACATAATATTTTATCTGCATTTCCAGTTTTTCTACCACAGAAATTAAGGCCTCTTAAGACAGCTAATAATAAGTATTCTACAGATATTTATATCTAAACTCTGTATCTCCTAATAAAGCAAGTTTATCCCAATCCAACAAAGGACCTATTCATGCATTTCCGAAGCTAATTGAGAATCTCATGTACAAATTAGTGTCTAATGCACTGGTCTTGAATCAGTTTCACTGATCAAGAGTTTTGGAGGTAGAGAAATAAGGGAAAGGGGGCAAATTCAGTCCTTCAGAGAGGGCTAATGTTCTGACTGGATACTTCAGATAGGGCTACTGAACTGACTGCATCTGCACAAACAGAACACACTGTTGCTATATGTGCAAATCCATCTGCACAAATCCAAATCCAATTGATCAGCACATTGTACAGGGAAGCATCTGTTAAACTGCTCTCAGCTGGAAAGGAGGTACAATCTGGAATGTGCCACTTAGGGAAACAGTGGTGAAGTGGTAATACAGAGTAGCTAGCTGGGATTTTAACTTTCCTAATTCTTTTTGTCTTTATATTTTAATGGGCATTTTCCATACTTTTCCATCATTTACTTGCAATCTGCCCCAACCTTTCACTACTGAGTTGGCATATATATTCAAATAGAAAAAGAGAAAAAAGAAATCTGTCTTCATAGGATCACTGCAAGCTTAGGGCATCAGGAACATCATCTCTTCAGATACAAAATTAAGGAGTATTAGAACAAAGTGCCATGCAATGTCAAATAATTAGTTTTGTTTTTAAAAAATCTGTATACTGTACCTGTGCCTTTATTTTCTGGATCTGGTGCAAATAACTTTACAGTGAGTTTTGGTAGCATCCATTGCATCCATAAACTAACACGGCCACTTGATATGCCAATGCTACTTGTTGTTTGTTCCAGGGTGACAGAGTCTGAGAATGGGGAATCATCACCTCCTTGCAGAGACTCACCCTACCAAAACAAAAACAAAAACACCCAAACTTAAAATGAATGCAAATATAATGTTTCCTGTAAATTATTTTATGCAAATATTATAGTTAATATGTAACACAGCAGATATACTTGTATAGAACCAAACATAATTTTGGGTGGGAGGGAGATTACATATTGGAAACTAACTTTATTACTTTTGCAGATTCCCATTCCTCCTAAGAGCTCTTGAACTTAACGTACAGTATTACTAGTAATTTATTCTGCCCCAAGGCCATCTATACTCTGCTATGAAAACCAAAGCACACGACAGGCACAACAGGAGTAGCACCACCATCCCATTACACACAAACACACGTATTTGGGGACTGGAGCACCACTCTTGATGATCAGAAACTTTGCTACCTCACCTAGCAGTGCAGTGTGGTGCAACACAGCAGACACATGGAATCAGGAATTATTTTCAAATGTGTCTATATGATTTGTATGAGATTAATGTATATTGCACAGGCTACCAAGGAATCAATTTCTCTTAGCAGAGATTAAAATTTAATTTGAGCTTTAGAAGCATAGAATGAATATACCTGAGACCATAAAATATTATTTTGCACACATGCAACAGGAAATGCACAAATGAAAGTTTGTTGGAAGTGGGGAGATGGACTACAGCATTTTGAAAACTGAAATTAACACTGAAATTAACTTCTGCAATTTCAATCTAGTAATATTCTATCAAGATATAAAATATACATTGATGCTGTAAATTGCCTGATAAAATCTTTAGCATGAAATGGAAACAGTAATATGTGGGAAAAGTCTAATCTGGCCAACACTCAAAAGCCTTCTAATCTCTTAGAAGACACTGATATACTCCACCATAGTACTTAATTCTGTTTCATAAATAAGCAGATAAATTATTTGCTTCTTTACATTTTATTCGCATGTATTTATTTATCTTGCCTTTTCTCCAAGAAGCTCAAGACAAGCCAAGACCATCTAGTTTTTGAAAATGCATGCCTCAAATAGATGTAAATCTCAAGAGCATTATTATGGGGAGAAGAATATTATTACATTATTACTCTTAAGTGAAATATAAAGATTGGGCCATATACTGTTCTATAATTATGAAAAATTTGAAAGATTTTCCACGTGCTTGAAAATAGAAGCATTACAGCACATCTTTAGTGAGCACTTTCAGAGTTATATCTGACAGTATTCCATTTTATTCCACAACCATTAAGTTTGTTCAGCAGTCTTTAGTGAGGGACATTTTCAATAACATTGCTTATTCAAACTCTCATAGCGCTCTAATACGTTAGTGAGACTGGACTTAACTTTGCAGAAGCCATACTGATTCCCTTTCACTAAGCATGGTTTGTCCCTTAGTGTGCCTACTGATTCTATCTTTAATAAGGGTTTCAACCAATTTACCCAGAACAGACATTAAGCTAATTGGCCTGTAATTTTCTAGATCTATCCTGGATCCCCTTTTAAAAACTGGTGTTACACTGGGCATTCTCTAATCCTCTGTTACAGAGGCTCATATTACATAGTTTGGTAAGAAGGTCAGCATGTTCAATATTTGAGCTCTTTCATAACTTTAGAATGCATACAATCCAGCTGTGGTGTCAATAAGGTTTGTCACCTGGATTATCAAAAAGGTTGAAAATTTCTTCTTTTGTCACTATCTGCCTTAATTCCTCAGGCTCCCTTCCTGAATATGTAAGTTCAGGTACAGTTATATGTTCTGCGTCCTTTGCAAAAAAGACAGATATATAAACATTTAATTAGCTTCACTACAATCACCTTATCTCCCTTTAGTGCTTCTTTAATTCCATGATCATCTACTAGTTCAACTACCTCCTTAGCTGGTTTCTTGCTGGTTCTAGCTGGTTTCTTGCTTCTGAAATCTTTAAAGAATTCTTTATTGTTGCTCTTTATGTTAGTGAAATACTCTTCAAAATGTTTGTTTGTTTTATTCTCTGTTTCCATCTTGTGTAAACTTGTGCTCCTTTTTGTTTTCCTCATTTGAGCAAAACTTCCATTTACTGAAGAAATCCTTGTTCTCCAATAGGTTCCTTGACTCTACTTGTTAACCATGCTGGTGACCTACTGGATTTCATGCTATGTTTCCTAACTTATGGTACCTGTTCCTCTTTTACTATTGCTCTGAGTAATCTCAAGATTTTTGAAGGGATTTAATCTCCTTGACTCCCTCTTCAACTTTTTTTAACCAGTTCCTTCCTTTTCAATAGGTTTCCTCTTTTGAAGTCAGGCACAACTGAGTTGGACTTCTTTAACAGACTTCTACCTTACTGTATATTCAGTCAGTCAGTCAGTCAGTCAGTCAGTCAGTCAGTCAGTCAGTCTTTTATCATGTGGTTTCACACCAGACAAAACTCATAAAAACATCTTGAAAACAATTAGAAACAGTTAAATAATAATAAATAAAAACAAATAAGTATTATAAATCAGAGGCAAGGATCGTCTTGTGTGTTGTTTGCACTGACAGAAGAAACTTGGCCACTAATTCTGTGTTGAATTTAGACTTGCAGGATTGGGGGTTGGAGGCACTGCTTTGCAGTGGTTCCGCTCCTATCTCGACGGTCGATTCCAGAAGGTAGTGCTGGGGGACCATGTCTCTACGTCATGGCAGCTATGCCATGGGGTACCACAGGGCTCCATTCTATCCCCTCTGCTATTTAACATCTATATGAAACCGCTGGGAGAGGTCATCAGGAGGTGTGGGCTGCGGAATCATCAATACGCTGATGATACCCAGCTTTACCTCTCATTCTCCACTAATCCAGGTGAGGCAGTGGCTGTGCTGAACCGGTGCTTGGCCGAGGTAAGGGAATGGATGAGGGCCAATAAACTGAAACTCAACCCAGACAAGACGGAGGTCCTGTTGGTTGGCGGATCGGGTTTCGGAGAGGGTGGATTTGACCTGGTCCTGAATGGTGCAACACTCCCTCTTAGGGATAAGGTCCGCAGCTTAGGAGTACTCCTCGACCCGGAGCTTTCTTTGGAAGCTCAGGTGACAGCGGTAGCGAGGAACGCCTTCCTTCAGCTTCGGCTGATTAATCAGTTGCGCCCCTACCTGGAGTACGACTGCCTGGCGACGGTGACACACACGCTGGTGACTTCCCGCCTAGACTTCTGTAATGCGCTTTACGTGGGGCTTCCCCTGAAGACAGTCCGAACACTTCAATTGGTGCAAAATAGAGCTGCCAGGTTGCTGACGGGGACGGGGCGTTATGCTCACATGACTCCAGTCCTCCATCAGCTTCACTGGCTTCCCATTGAAGCCCGGGCCCAATTCAAGGTGTTGGTGATGACCTACAAAGCCCTAAACGGCTTGGGTCCTGGCTACCTGAACGAGCGCTTGCGTCCGTATATGCCCGACCGCCCTTTGAGATCTGCGGGAGAGTCCCTTCTCCAGGAACCCTCCGTGAAAGAAATTAGGAGAGTAAGTACCCGGAGGAGGGCTTTCTCTGCGGTGGCGCCCAACCTATGGAATTCACTCCCCAAAGAGGTCCGCCTGGCACCGTCGTTACTGGTTTTTCGGCGCCAGGTAAAGACCTTTTTATTTAAACATCATTTCAATTGTTAAAACATATGATCTGGCCAGGGCAACTTCTTCTTCCTTCTCTTTCTCCTCCTATATTTTTATTTTATACTGATAATTTTAATTTTGTATTTGTAAATCAATGTATTTTTTTGTATTTTTATATTTAATGGTAATTTATTATGTACTATTGTATTTCAATGTATTTTATCATGTTGTAAGCCGCCCCGAGGTTTCGGCAAGGGGCGGCATAGAAATGTTATAATAATAATAATAATAATAATAATAATAATAATAATAATAATAATAATTTATTCTTATCAGCTAGGAAATATTTTAAATGCCAATTAAAACTCCTACTTTGGAAATCACTCATTAGAAGTTAAGGAGTGTCCTGTTCTCATCCATGTAAACAATGCATATGAAAAGGATGTGCTCTAGAGTTTCAGTTTGTATGTTATTACAGAGGCATAGTTGATTTTCATATGGCACACCATAATAATGCTCATCTAAGACTGCAGATGGGAGGCAGTTAAATCTGACTCTTGAAAAGACTTGCTGGTATATTAGAAGGGTCAGATTTGCAGGAATTTAAACTTTAGTCCAAAATCCAGAGGTGAGCAGGTCTTGCAGGCATTTGATATGGAATACTGAAAATCATTATCACTAATCTGCTTTTCCAGAATAGTCTCAACTGCCTTAAAGTCACGGGCATGAAGAAAATCCACAGATAGACCTAATAAATGCAATTTAGTGGAAAAGGTTTTAAATCAGGAACTAATGTAGACATCTTTCTGTAAAAGGTGTAAATACCCTAGTGTCAGCATATACCATCTTAATCCAATAGCAGAAAGCGTGTAAACAGGCAGGGCATTCTATCGATGAAATACCCATCTCAAGTCATAAGCCATAAGCCTGCTGCAGGAACACATCTTGGCATTCCAGTGATCCATCTTAAAAACGTTGCGAGAATAGTCTCAATATTTGGGTGAAACCCTAGAATCCAAATTGGGATTCCATACAAGAGCTGAAGCCAGACTTAAGACTTAAAGACCTGAATGGCAGCAGGTATAAATTAGTAGATATATAGCAGGTATATTAAATCTGATTATGGTGCAGTCACTGTTTTCAACCAGTTCAGCAATATTTACATCCTGTACTATAATGAAATTCCACTCATTGGAATCAATTGCACAATTCCACAATGAAAGAACAAACATTTAATTACTGTATATACTGGCATTACCTTGAAACTGGAAATAGCAAGTAAAAAATCGGGGCGGGGGGTTTCATCATATTATATTCATAGTTTTAAAAGGATAGATAATAAAGACAATTGTATTTACAAGCTCATTTTTATTAATAATCATAAAAATACCTTCTTGCTGGTACCAGGGGAGCTTGTCTTGTGCTGCACTGCATCATGAGCTTTGCATGCAGTCCTGTGGGAAGC